TTGACATGTAAAACAAGCTATTTAAAATTTGAAAAAAAGTTTAAAAAAGATATCTGAAGGACAGTATCATCTTTTTTGACAAAATTCATTGGACATTTTCTTCTATGTCATTCAGACTGTCTGGCAAAATCTTACATGAAGGAGGAATCCTAAAGGACTATACCACCTTGTTTGGGAAAGTTAAGCAGCATTTTTTGGATCCTGCATGTCCAGTTTTTACAGCATAATGTCAAGCAGTCCAGGCAAGAGTAGTTTCTTACCCAAACGGCAGACCTTGACACACTGAAAGCCAACTATGTAAGGTGATTCTTTTATACCCATCATCCTTTTGAGACAAATTAGTCTACCAGGTCCAGAAGTGTCTCACTGTTAAGAAAATTCTAAGATCTTAAAACATTTTAAATGCCATATCCTGTAGGTATTTGACATGTTTGCATATTATATACCCATCTGAAATATATCTCTGCATATCTAGAAAACCTAACTACATGATTATAAATTTGACAATTAAAGATGACTATTAATTTGTATTTCTTAGCTGTATATGACAATTTTAAATGAGCTGCAAAAATATAATACCTTAAACAAGTGTAGAATTATACATATAGTATAACAAAATTGACCATAACTTTGTATCAATAAACCAAAATTCATACCAATGTGAAGTATTTTGAGGTTAATGGTTTCTTTTTGGGTTAAAGTAGATGCACTAATCTACCTTTTGATTATTTCTGCACTATATTTTCTGTTTTAAACTGCTAAGTGGGCATAGCTAGGGCCAAAAGAGTAGCTTTGGCTGTTGGCTTCAACCTATTCAGATTCCCAACATGATGAATGTACCCAGGAGATTCAGGCTTACCACTCCCCAACTCAGAGGAAAATACTGCCATCAGGTAGCATGCAGATGGCCCATAAACCTTTTTTGTCTAAAGAGTGAAAGATAAATCCATCACACAGCATGCTGTGCAGCTTGTAGATGCCTCTGTGTAAAGTGGTAGGAACGTGCCATACTGTACTCAATACTGCATTCCATGACATCTCTGTACCATGCATCACATTAAAGACAGAAGTAGGAAGGTGTTTAAGCTCCGTTTTGGGTGCTAGGACCATTTTTTTCACTTTTGAAAGACCTATAGAAATTTGAGAGCCTCATGTTGAATGCCATTTGTCATCACAGGCTTTTCTGTGTCTTGCCAGGTTCCACAGATGCTTATAAAAAATCACTCAGATGCTTAATATTAATTATAATTGTTTGGCCAGTGACTCAGGCTTGTTATTGGCTAACTCTTACATTTAAATTAATTTATTTCTATTAATGTGTGTATTTGCATGTGCTCCAGGGCTTACAAGTAATGCTTTGGTATCTTGCTACTCTGTCAGCTACTGGAGTGTCTCTTGACTCTGCCGTCTGTCTCCTTTTATTCAGTTTGGCTTTCCCACCTAGCTTTGTTCTTCCCTGACATAAGCCAAAGCAATTTTATTCATCAACCAAAAAAGGAACACATATTCTCAGCATACAGAAGGACATCATATATGAGATATCAGGCACAAAAATATCAATATCATCATTCATTATGGAAATACAAGTCAAACCACAAGGAAATATATTTTCAGATCCCAGGATGTGGTGATAGGAAGAGACAGAAACACTAGGAGCTATCAATGATGTAGAAAAGTTGGAACACTGATAAAATGATGGCATAAAGTTAAAAGAGTATAGCTGCCATTATGGGAAATAACTTGAGGGTAATACCTTTCAATAGAAGAAATAAAATTAGCTTGTAACAGCCTTTACAATCCTGCTTATTATTGCACAAACTTGGACAGCCAAGTTCACATAAAAATAAGCACTAGCACCTACAACTATAAAATTCCTAATACCCCTAATTTAGAAATCATCTCAATGCCCATCAAATGAGTGACCAAACTGTCCAATCAATAAAATGTAGTATGCTACTCACATCTAAATGTGAACTACTACTGAATAGAAGCACTAACGTGTGAATTAGCCCAAGGGATATCTATTCTTGGTTGTCAACTTGAATATAACTGGAATAAACTACAATCAAGATATGGATGTCCAACCTGTGAGAGATATTCAGCTTGGTCTGCGGTGGTAAAACCATTTCCTGTCAAGACTTTTAATGTAGGAAAACACACCTTTAATTTGTGGCACACATTCTGTTGGAAGCCTATGTAAGTGCATTGATGAAAGAAGATTTTGTTCCTTGCTTGCTTGCCCTCAACTTCATAGCACAGCCATACTTTCACTGGCAATGGAGCCTACTTCTTAGTAGGCTGTAAAGCAACTCCCAAAGATAGAGAAATAGAATATAGTTATGGAGAAACCTTTGGGTGGCTGAAAAAAGAAAATCTAAAGGGGAGAAGGGGTAGCACTGGGATAAATAATCACATGTAGGGAGGGGCACAAAAAACTAAGGGAGATGTGGGAATTGTATATAAAACTAATGAAGCAGAGGTTTCCTAAATTACATATAGATACAAAAACAATGATATTATCAATAAGAGGAAGACAAATCCCAAACTAGACATCTCTTTTCCCCAAAGGAAAATGCCAGTGCCAAGATTGGATTACATATATTTTAGTTTGGGGCCAAAGCTGCCAATAAAACCCCCAAACAATTCAGAATACTGTCAAGATTATTGTAATCTGCAAACTAATTGTAATCCTAAATTGCTGAATAAAACATCTACATATCTCACTGAATACAGTGAAAGCAAGTTGCTAACTACCTGGAGCCTTCAAACCTACTCACTAGTATTCATGTTACAGGAAGATACTCTATTCACCAACAGAGAAGAAAAGTAAATACAAACCTAGTTACAAACATGTATCTACAATGGTGAGCTGCCTGCATTATATGACTGTGTAATATTAGCACAAATATTGTTGAAGTAATTGTCTTAGTTACTTGCTATGAAGATATCACATGAACAACACAACTTATAAAAGAAAGCATCTAAATGTGGGATTTAACACTTTGAGGTTTACAGATTTATAATGTGAGTCCTTTATAATTATGCTGGTCAGCATGACCTCAGGCAGGCAGCTAGCATGCGGGAATAGTAGCTAAGAGATGCACATTGTTCAACAAGCATTGAGACACCAGGCAAGACAAGGGCTTTTTAAACCTCAAAGCCCAGTACAACTCCTCCAAAAATGCTTCACATCCATCAAAGCTATACCAACTCCCACTAGAATGGCAAAGAATGGGCTGACAAAACCAGCAAAGACAGCTGATCTGAACAAGGGCAAGCCCTTGGATCCCAGACCAACAGCTGGGAGGCCAGCATGGGACTGATCCAGACCCCCTGAGTGTGAGATTTAGTAAGGAGGCCTGAGTAACCTATGTGGCCCTGGGCAGTAGATCAATGTTTAACCCTGGCATACAAATGGATTTTGTGTGTCCATAACACAAAGGGGGATGCTCTCTCAGCCCAGATTCTTAGGGGAGTGCCTGGACCCTGCCCTGAGTGAAATGACAGACACAGCATATCCCCTATATGGAAGTAAGTGGGGATAGGGTGGGAGGCTGGGGGGGGATTGTGGGAGGGTATAGCAAGAGGGGAGGGACAGGGAATTGGGATTTCCATGTGAAGCAAGCTATTTAAAATTTAAGTAATAAAATAAATATTTTCAGCAAAAAAGTCTAAAAATGAAGCTACCAAGAAGCCCAGCTATACTATTCCTTGGCATGTACTCTAAGAACACAGCATTCTACTAAAAAAACCTTGTTTAGCCATGCTAAGTGCATCTGTGCTCACAGTAGCTAGGAAATATAAACAATCTACATATCTTTCCACTGACAATGAATATGTAGTACATATACAAACAATAACTCTGTATTGGTGTTTAAGGAAAATGAATAAAATTTTAAGTGAATATATGAAATTAGAATGATTTATATTCATTCAAAGACATGCTCCCATATTTTTGTGGAGTAAAAGTGTGAGGGACATGAAAGTGGGGTTGACACATTATAACTAAAGGAATAAAGCATAGTATGCTTATTGACACATTCCAACAATTATTCAGGCTTAATTTTTAAAAATGAAATTCAAAGGATTGGGTAGGCCCATGGACCTTTAGACACATGCTATAAAGATTTACAAAGATGTGAATAATCAATGAAAGTAAAGTCCATCTCCTTATTGAAAGAAGTAAATTGTTTCTGAAGATTGAAGTCTATTAAAACAAAGAATGAGCTTTTGGGGAAACATGATCAAACAGGTAATCTGAGTACAGAAACTACCTACGCTGCAGATAAGGGTAGCTTGAGAAGAGCTATGCATTTTATTCATTTTGATGTATCATTTATAAACTTTTCTTTGGATTAGCTGGCAATTTGCTGCTATGATTGTCAGAAATTGGATTTTTTCAAATATCAAATGGGGGGGAATATGTGCAAATGGATAGTTCCCAAAAACATCAATACAGCAAATTAAGCTAGTGCTTCATGGGTGAAGACTTATAGAGAGTTAGAGTTTGAAACTGTTTAAAAATTTCAAGATGATAATAATTGCTGTTTGATCATACAGTTAATGTTAATACATGAAGTGAGTATATGAACATATTTAATGCTAATTAGAAAACATGCAAATACACATAGAATTTAATGCATTAGTATATACAAAAATGTAACGTAACAATAGTAATTTTGCAAAAAATAGAGTGAAATATTGAAATATAGATATTCAAAATTTGGTTTTGACAAAGTAGTTTCAGAAAACAAAATATCTGAACTGAGGTATCTTCCATGGTGACAAGAAGGAGGTACATCGTTAAATTAAGAATCACATATTTATGAAAATAAAGTTAGGGGAGTAAAAGGTGGCAAGCTGATGGCTACAGTTTGTAGTGATTCAAATGTTAGAATAATCCCAGAGCCATATGTAGATAAAAGCAAAAGGAAGAGTTCAGTTTGATGATTGAAGTGTATTGTAACTGTCCCAAGATCCAATTTTGAAAACAAGCATGTTTAATATTCAGAAGACATTTTAGTTTCAAAGTGTTTCTTATTCTTAGAATGATAACTATAAATTTTTTCTGACCTTAATAAAATAACATAGCACTTTGGAAGAAAAATGCATCCAAGTAGGCCAGCACCAGAAGCCAAGATAGATATTACCTCAGTGACTACAACAGACCTGCCCTTGGTGCTTTGGTAGACAGGAAGGAAAGTGACCCAGACACTACAAAATACCAGCATGCTAAATGTCAGGAACTTGGCTTCATTAAAAGTATCAGGCAAGTTTCTCACCAGGAAAGCCAGGGTGAAGCTCCCCAGTGCCAGGCAGCCCAGGTATCCCAGGACACAATAAAAGGCAGTGACTGAGCCCTTGTTGCACACAATGATGATGTGTTCATATTCTGAATGTATATCTATGTCAATAAAAGGAGGTGATGTCCCCAGCCAGATGCCAATGAAAATAAGTTGGATCAGAGTGCAGAAGGGTACTATGAAGTTTGGTGCTCTTGATATCAGTAACCACCTCATCCTTCTTCCTGGAGAAGTAACTCTGAAGGCCAGTGCCACAGTAACAGTTTTGGCTAAGACAGTGGAAAGAGCCACAGTGAACACAGTTCCAAATACGGTGTGCTGCAGAATGCAAGTGGCTGGGTTGGGATGACCAATGAAGAGCAAAGAACAGAGAAAACAGAGGATGAGGGAGATGAGCAGAATATAACTAAGTGTTCGATTATTAGCTTTGACAACTGGAGTGTCTCGGTGTTTTAAAAAGACCCCCAAAACAGAAACTGTCAATCCAGAGAAGCCCAAGGATAAGAAGGTTAAAATCATCCCCAAGGTGTCTTCATTGGATAGGAAGGCCACACGTTTTTTAATGCAGTGAATTCTCTGCATGTTAGCATATTGATTATCTGCACACCTTAAACACTGCTCCATATCTATTGTGAAATAAAAAGTTTGAGGTAAATTTATTAGTAAGAGACAAGAAAATGGAAAGATCCCCCAATTTGATATCTCTTGTCATCAAATAAGACCTTCAGTGCTTGGAACATTAGATGCCATCTAAGGGAATATAGGCCATTACCTGGGATTGTATTGTTCTCCACAAACTAATAGTAGTGTCCTCTTTCTAAAGAGAAATTGATGGGTTGCCTAACAAGAGACTTCAGTCTTAATGACTAATGTTGATATTACTGACACTCTGAAATCTACCACAAGAAAATGTAAAATATTACCTAGCTATAAATCCTTTAATCAACAATTGTTATGTAAGATCTGCCCCACCTGCCTGGTCCCAGAACCACTTCAGCCTGAAATAAATACATAGGCACTATATTAAATATAAAATGTTGGCCAATGGCTTTGGCTTATTATTGGATAGCTCTGTCTTAATTATTAGTCCATTTCTATTCATCTATGTATTTCCACATGGTCTTTGCTTACTAGAGAACACTTGGTATGTCCTCTCTTCTTGGGCTCTACATGAGACTCCAACTACCTACTTTTCCCAGAATTATCCTCAACTCCTGATCCTGGATACACTTCTTGCCTTGCCAGTCAGCCAATCAGTGTTTCATTCATAAGAAAAACATGTATACAAAAAGACATCTTCCATCAAACAGTGGTGACCTGTCTGCAAGGTACATAGGTGCAGCAGTGGACAAGCATTGTGGGAGAAAGTTCAGCCAGACAGAAGACTCAAGAGAGGAGAGACTCAAGAAAGAAAATAATTAAAAACAGGTACCTCCACTTCTAACAGTAAAATTGAATGGTGAAATCCCCCAGGTTTTGCTTGAGAGATCACCTTCTAAGGAGAAGGTGTATTAAATTAATCTCCAGCCTTTTGCCTGATCCATTAAGGTCAGCACAGTAAAGGAGAACTGAGAGATCACCCTCAAAGGCTGGCCAGCAAGTAAGGCTATGAGGGTGTATTGGAAAGGGGTATCAAGTTAGGGGTACCAGGTTAAATATTCAGGCCTTTGCCCACAAGGTCAGGAAAGAAAGGGGAACCTGATAGATAGCCCTCAGTTGAAGGGTGAATTGAGTAAATCTTAAGGCTGAACGATCATCCTTGGTTGGAAGATGGTGAATTGAAAATTGGTAATGGTTAATAAATTAGGTACTGGTATTAAGTGAAAGAAAAGAAAAAGATAAAAGTGTATGGAATAGAAAATACATGGAGTGTCTGGATACTGTGTGCTGTTAGGTTGTCTTTAAACTGTTTAATTGCTAAGAAAGAAACAAAAACTACTAAAAGACATTTGATTATCAATGCTGCTAAAATAAGCCAACTTACATATTTTGAAAATGCTTTCACTTCTAAATTTAAATATAAGGACAGATTACTTGGGAAAAGAATTTCTGCTTTTATTTCCATAGAAAATAAAAAGCTGTGGGTTCCTTCCAGACTAGTATGGTTTGATGAAGCAAGACCTCTGGAAGCAGTGGCCCAAGTGATTCAACATCTAAAGCAGCTAAGAAAATGCATCCTTACAGACCCCAAAACAAGGACTTATACAGGTTTCTGAGTTTTGTTATGATCTCCATGGTATGAACAGCACCCCTTTACAGCAGGAATTAGTTTGGTAAGAACAATGCCCACATTTCCAAATATTGTTTATAAATATTTGTTTGCATTTATACAGGGTTGGTTATTGCTACAAACTTAAGGTCAATTTTGTGAGTCATCTCTAAAAACTTTTTACAAGGAGTGGGTATGGCTGTAGCCCCTGAGAAAAATAACAAAATCCTATAACATGGCCCGAGAGCCAAAGAAATCTGTATGGAAGATTCTATAAAGTAGCAAACAGTTCAAACAAAATTTTAAAAAATACAAAAGGGGGAAATGTTGGGGGCTAGCCCCACAGGGTCTCTGAGTTGTTTGTCCGCTGATAGCCACCAGTGCATCCTGTTTTCTAGTCCTGGCTTACTGCCCCTGCATTGCCCCACTGACATCAACATCTAGCATGAGAAAAGCACGCTCTCTTCCACTGGGGTTTTTCTACTGTGTTGTAAGACTATATATAAGACTGTTCCCTCCTACAAGAGAGTCCTGTCACCACACACACACACACACACACACACACACACACACACACACACCTGACAATAAAGGCAGCACATACATTTTCTTAGTACAAACCGCTGAACATCTGTTCTTGCTTATCCTGATACCTCGGAGTTGCTTGTGGCGCAGGCGCCACACCAAAAAAAACCCTGAAAACCAATAGAAAAATAACCTATAGATATAAACTGATAAAGATTTATGACGCACTATTAAAGGGCAAATGTATCAAGAAGTAAACAAGAAGGAAAGGTACTGAAAGACCTGAAGTAAGTAGGCATCAGCCTGATTACCCCCATGACGTCCCGAGCTCAATAACCAGACAGTAGGATGCAACCACAAGAGGTTTAAGTTTTTACACAGGCGTCTGTGGGCGATTCAGCAGCTTGGCTAACTGAATGTGCCAGGCCCTAGGACAGCTTTCTTTTTATATACATAATGTTGGCAAGCAAAATAATAGGGATATTGTAAGGAGTGGAGCTACTGCAGGTGCAGATCTGGGCAAGCAATAGGGGATTGTCAGAAGCACAGGCAGAACTCATCCTCCCTGGAGAAACCCCAAGGTCAGATGTACACTTATCTCTACAGCCTGCCAGTTTCCTTCATTAACACTCTGGACTCGATGTTCTTTCTAATAAGACCTGGTTCCCTGCCTAGGGGAAAGGACCTTGGGTAATTTTCCACTGAGGTGACCTTCTGAGTCTCAAAAGGGGGGGGTGTATTGAGGTTTTTCAGTACAACATCCTGGAAACACATGGAACAGAAAACACCAAATCTCTTGGGCACGATAAAAGCAGGGCTCTGAGGGAAATATATGTGCCTGGAGGAAAGTACAAAATTATACAAATACATCTCTTAATTTTAAACTCCAGAACTAGTTGACAAAAAACAGAGTCCAAAATCTAGTATGTTGAACTATGTAATAAAACCTATATGGAAATTAATAGGGATACATAAAAGAAGAAATTAAACTAAGAGCTAATTCTACAAAATGATAAACAATTTTGACAGTAACTTATCAAAATTAAACAAACAAAAGAGATCAAATGAATACAAATCAGTCATAATTAGGAATATATTACAACAAACACCAAAGAATTTCACAATGATATAAAGAAATCCTTAAAAGCCCACATCATTGGACTGTAAAAAGCTTAAACAAGCAAGTGAATTTCTATACAGATATTAATGACAAAGAAAACCTAAGAAGAAAGGATAAAAGTAAAAATACAAACACAGATAAGATGATTATTCCAGGATTAAAAAGCCTTCAATATAAAAGAGACTGTTTAAAATGTATTCAAAATGTAAATCTAAGAACCTTTCAAACAAGAATTACAACCAGTACTTCAGTAATTATTTCAAAAGATAAAAAAAAACACTTGCTAACTGATTCTAAGACCAAAACTATTCCAATGACAAAACTGGAGCATAAAATTAACAACTATTAAAAAATAATTATGAACCAATATCACTGATGAAATTGATTCTACACTCTCATTAAAATAATTGCAAGCCAAATATTGGCATAAAGCAAGCAGATCATCCAACCAAGTAATGTTGTCTGATCAAAGATATGCAAGTCAGTAAAAACAGTACATTATACAAATAGACTTAAAGACAAAAATAACATGATCACAACAGGAGTTGAGAAAATAGAATTAATAAAATTATGCCTGTCGCTATACTTAAAGATCTAAGGAGGAAAGACCATAAGGGGACATAATTCAATATAATTTAAAATAGATTTGACTAGCCCAAAACTAATATTGTCCTAAAGAAGAAAAACTAAAACCAGGCTATTAAAATCAAGAAAAAGTTTACTTGAACTTGAAGTTCTTGTCATACAGGTCTTTCACTTGCTTGCTTATAGTTTCCCCAAGATATTTTGTTATTTGTGACTACTGAAAAGGTAATGCTTCTCTGATTTTTTCTCAGTCTGTTTAACATTAATATAGGAGGGCTGCTGAATTTTTGAGCGAATCTTGTAACCTGCTAAATTACTGAGGATGTTTAATAAGTTACATGTGTTCCCTGGTAGAATATTTGGGTCACTTATGTAAAATCACATATCATGACCAAATAGCAAGAGTTTGAGTTATTCTTTTCTAATTTGTGTACACTTGATCTCCTTTTGCTGTCTTATTGCTCTATGTAGAACTTGGAGTACTATATTGAATAGATAAGGAGAGATGGGGCAACCTTGTCTTGTGTCACATTTCAGTAAGATCATTTTGGTTTTCTCTTCATTTAGTTTTCTGTTGGCTGTTAGGTTGCTATATGTTGTCTCTATTATTTTCAGGTATGTTCTTTGTATCCCTATTCTCCCCAAGACCTTTACCCTGAAGGGGTATTGGATTTTCAAACCTTTTTTAGTATCTAGTGAGATGGTCATGTGGTTTTTCTTTTTCATATTGTTTATGTGGTGGATTACATTGATGGATTTTCATGTGTTGAACCATCCCTGCATCTCTGGGATAAAGCCTACTCGACCATGGCAGATGATTTTTCTGATGTGTTCTTGGATTCAATTTGGCATTACTTAATTGAGTGTTTTTGCACCAATGTTCAGAAGGGATACTGGTATGTAATTCTCTTTTTTAGTTGTATCTTTGTGTGGTTTGGATAACAAAGTAATTGTAGCTTCATTAAAAGAGTTTGTAATGTCCCTTCTGTTTCTACTGTGTGGAAGTTTGAGGGGTATTGGTATTAGCTCTTCTTTGAATTTTTGATAGAGTTCTGCACTAAAACCACCTGACACTGGCCTCTTTTGTTGGGAGACTTTGATGACTGCTTCTATTTCATTATGGGATATAGATCTATTTAAATTGCTTACCTGTTCTTGATTTAATTTTGGCAAGTGATATCTATCCAGAAAATTTTCCATTTCCTTTAAAGTTTCCAATTTTGTGGAGTATAGTTTTTCGAAGTACGGCTTGATAATCCTCTGGATTTCATCAGTGTCTGCTATTACCCCCCTTTTTATTTCTGATTTTGTTAATATGTATATTCTCTTTCTATCTTTTGGTTCATTTGGGTAATGGGTTATTTATGTTCTGAATTTCTCAAAGAACCCACCCTTTGTTTCATGGAGTCTATTGTTTTCTTTGTTTCTATTTTTTTTTATTTCAGGCCTCAATTTGATTATTTCCTGCCATCTACTCCCCCTGAGAAACTTTGTTTCTTTTTGGTCTGGAGCTTCCAGGTGTTTTGTTTATCTAGCGTGGTATTTCTCCAACTTCTTTTTGTAGGTGTTTAGTGCTATGAACTTTTCGCTTAGCACCGATTTCATAGAGTCTCTTAAGTTTGGGTTTGTTGTACACTGATTTTCATTAAATTCTAGGAAAACATCATTCTTTTCTTTGTTTTTTCCTTGACCCAATGTTTAATCATTATTCATTATTCAGTTGGCATGATTTGTAGGCTTTTTAGAATTTGTGTTGTAGCTGAATTCTAACTTTAAGCCATGGTGATCCAATATGATTCAAAGGGTTAGGTGTGTGTGTGTGTGTGTGTGTGTGTGTGTGTGTGTGTGTTTGTGTGTGTGTGTAGATTTGCTTTGTAATTGAGTATGTGGTTAATTTTAAAGGAGGCTCCTTAGGGTGCTGAGAAGAAGGTGCATTCTTTTGAGTTTGGGTGGAATGTTCTATGGATCTCTTAAGCCCATTTGAGTGGTAACATCTGTTAGACCCTTTACTCCTCTGTTAATTTTTTTCTGGCAGACCTGTCCACTGGTAAGAGTGGAGTGTTAAAGTCTCCCATAACAAGTGTGTAGAATTGATGTGTGGTTTAAGGTTTAGTAGTGTTTCTTTCACTAATGTGGGTACCCTTGTATTTGGGGCTTGCATATCCAGGATTGAGAATTCTTGCTGTGTTTTTCCTGTGATGAATATGAAATGTCTTTCATGATCCATTTTGATTACATTCAGTTTGAAGTGTCTTTTGAAAGATATTAGGATAGCTACACCAGCTTTTTCTTTGGTTCATTTGCTTGGAAAGTTTTTTCACAACCCTTTACTTGGAGGAAATGTCTGTCTTTGAAGTTGAGGTGTGTTTCTTGTGTGCAGCAGAAGGAGGAATGCTGTTTTTGTATTCATTGTGTTAGGCTGTATCTTTTTATAGGAAAGTTGAGTTCTTTGATATTAAGGGATATCAATGACCAGTGGTTATTGATACCTACTATTTTTGATAGTGGTGTTATGTGTGTTTCCTTAGGATTTTTGTCTGTGGGATTATTTATTGCCTGTGCTTTCCTGGGTACCCCTAACCTCCTGGGTGCTTTCTATATGGCAGGATTTGTGGATAGGTGTTGTTTAAATCTGGTTTTGTCATAGAATATCTTGTTTTTGCCATATATGGAAATCAAAAATTTTTCTGGTAATAGTAACCTGAGTTGGCATCCATGGTATCTTCAAGTCAGCATAATGTCTGTCCAGAACCTTCTAGCTTTGAAATTATCCATTGAAAAGTTACATATCATTGTGATGTGTCTGTTCTTCTATGTAACTTGACATTTGTCCTTTGCAGTTCTTAATATTCTTACTTTTTCTGTATATTTCATGTCTTATCTTATTTTACGTGGTGAGAGGACATTTTTTACTCTGGTCTATTTTTAGTTCTGTTAGCTTTTGTATCTTCATAGACATCTCCTTCTTTAGTTTGGGAAAGTTTTCTTCTATGATTTTGTTGAACATATTTTCTGTGCCTTTGAGCTGGACTTCTCCCTTTTCCATCCCAATTAATCTTAGATTCAGTCTTCTCATAGTGTCACAGATTTCCTGCATGTTTAGTGTTAAGTATTTGTTAGATTTAAAATTTTCTTTGACAGATGAATCTATTTCATGTATCATATCTTCAACATCTGAAATTCTCTCTTTCATCTCTTGTATTCTGTTGTTTATGCTTCCATTTGTAGTTCATGATCTTTTACCCAGATTTTCCATTTCCAGAATTCCTTCAGTTTGTCTTTTCCTTATTGCCTATGTTTCAAATTTCAAGTCCAAATCATTTCCTTCACTTCTTTAGTAGCTTTTTCTTTGTTTTCTTTAAGGCATTTTTCAATTTCGTCCAAATTTTTGCTTGTCTATTCCTCCAATTCTCTAAGGGAAGTTTTCATTTACTCTTTAATGGCTTCAATAATCCTCATAAAGTTAAGTTTAGGTCATTTTCTTCTGCTTCATCAGTGTTGGGATGCACACGTCTTGCTGTTATAGCACTACTAATCTCTATTGGTGTCATATTGCTCTTTATATTGTTGAACATATTCTTACAGTGTTGTCCAGGCATCTCTTACTCTAACTGGTATACATGGAGTTGGTGCTTCCAGGGGTCTCTCTTTCTCCAATTGATATAGTTGGAGGCTATGGCTAAGTCAGTGGCATCTCTTTTTCTCCAATTGGTATAGTTGGAGGCTGTGGCTAAGTGGACTGCTCCTTCGGGAGCAAATTGAACAGTGCCTCTGGTGACTACTGTCTCTGGTGGAAGTGTGCCCAATGCTCAGGTGATCATTTCTTGAGGTGCAGATGGGGCTACTGCTCTGGTGAATGCTCCTCCCATCGGAGGTAGGGCCACTGCTCCATGATTGCTTCTCTAGGTATAAGTGGGTCTGAGGGTCCAATGGTTGCTGTAACAGCAGAGTATCTCCAACCAAAAAAAATGTAGGTGGATGCTGGCTGGACACAGGTGCCCTTTCCTAGAGGAACTTCTTGTGAGAAATTCTGGAAGCCACTGCTGGAAAAAGCGGCCATTGTCTTATCTAGCATTTGCTCTCCACTCCCAGGCTTTTGGCTCAGGCCATCCTCTAACACTGTTTAAGGTCTGAGGCTCAGGCCTCCCATTGACACTGCTCGAGGCCTGAGATTCGGGACTCCTGACACTGCTCCTGAGCTGATGCTTAGGGTCTCCCATTGCCCAGATTGATATCCATTTCTTGCACTTAAAGGGGAATAGTAAAGAGGATAATTGTGTTGATAAGGTTTATACTTACTTGTTTCATTAGAGATCTCATTTTCTGAACAAGGGATGCAATCAAAGCAACAAATGGCCTTTCCTTCCACATGTACTTTCCTGAATCCACGACCACAACTCTCACTGCATAGGGATTGTGGGGTCTGAGGAAAGTTAGAGATGCATTAGCAACTGTTATATCACTCAACAAATGTATCAATAAATACAATGAGTCAGTAAACAGAAACTTTAAACATAACACATGCTCTTAAATAAAACTGAGTCTTTAGATGTTCTTGCTTATTTGTGCATGAGTTCATTGCCTAAATACAGTACTCTAGTCCTGATATGCCCTGAAAATTCATGGAAACTGTATGATTTGGATCCTGATAAATGAAAGGTAACTAAATTTGTCCTTTAAGTGGAGATATTTACAATCTTGTAGCAGATGATTTTACTTGATACTTGACTATCATGTAGAGAATAATTTCCTCTGCCATGCACATACACTGCAATACCATGATATAAATCAAATATCAAAAAATGCCTGAATTAGGGAAAAACCATCTATACTTTGTGTGTTCTTATAGATTTAGTTCCCTAAAAAATTTTATAGTGATAAATGGTCACACAGACAATGTACTTGAATCTCATGAAAGACATAAATCTTATGCATATATTGGTAAACAGAGAAGACCAGCTTCATCAGTGTAAAAACAATTCTGAAATTATAGTTGATAAATCTTCATTGGAGATCAATAGCATAACAACCATAAATCAAGAATAATAAAAACAAGAATGTGATACTAGTTGACTGTTTGCATTTGAAAATATTATGTTAGCTTCCACCAACCTCTGTAAATCCTAAAGGCCACTCTATTATGTCCTTATGTAAAGTCAATTGATGGCCAGGTGGAGCAAGTGGAGAAAACATTCCTATTTTCAATGCATGTACAAAATGTGTTGGGAAATGGCAATAGTTAAGGATATCATACTCTGCCACAGATTTCCTTTTCTCATCCAAAATAAATTGGTCAAGACGAATATTCCTTAGAAAGGAGTGCATCTACGAGAAATGAGTGGCTCGGGTTAACACAGAAAGCAACATGTAGAAAAGGTCTTCATCTCTTTTATTCCTTATACCATAATGCAGATTTAGCACAGCAATAAATAAAGCATAACAAGGTTAATAGTATGAAAAACTGAAATATCATAATATTCCCAAGTTCAGTAACATGAAACAAAATGAACTAAGTATCACAGTATGAGTCTCTATTGTTCATCAAGATTTCAATACTGTAATGAAAGCTTGACATGTTCTAAGATGATGTTGATGTACATATGTCATAAGTATGCTCATTAGATTTTAATACATAAATCCCTGGGACCAGAACTAGGATGAGGAATTGTTAAGAGAAGCTTTTTCTTTTGCTAGCCGCTTTGGTTTATCCTCCGCCAGCCCCCTGGGCTCTGTCGCGCCAGCCTGGTTCTAGATCCACATGAGTCCCAAATAAACACACAGGAGGCTATATTAATTATGAACTGTTGGCCTTGTTTGTCTCTTACTGGCTAGCTCTGCCTTAAGTAATTACCCCATAATTGTTAATCTAAGTATGGTTCTTACCGGAGAATAGTTCCCGGCGTCCTACCCCCATGACGTAACATGTTGACTCTCTTGTGTTTCCCCTTCCCAGAATCCTCCTCGACTCCTAGTCCCTCCTATCTAAGTTTTCTATTGGCCAGACAGTACTTTATTGACAAATGCGCAGGCAAATAACAGGACTTCCCCAACAAGGAATAGAAGAACTACCAGAGCATTGGACTTGCTAGCACCCATTGAAAGGGAACTCTGGTCTGCTCTTTCTGCATCCACTAGAAGAAGACATAGAAAACAGACAATACATAAAACACACTCTGCAACAGAAAAACAAATATGACACCACCACATTCGAGAGACTCCACAAGAGCAAGACTCCAACATTCCAAAGCAAATGAAACAGAAGGGAATGACGTTAAAAACAACTTCATGAAAATGATAGACACCCTAAAAGAGGATATAGGAAAATCCCTCAAAGAAATGGATGAAAAAAACAAAACAAAAATGCAAGAAATGGAAGAAAAAATGCAAGAAATGGAAGAAAAACAAACAAAAAGGCAGGAAATGGAAGAAAAACACACAAAAAATACAAGAAATGGAAGAAAACACAAACCAAAAAATACAAGAAATGGAAGACAAAGCAAACCAAAAAAATTCAAGAAATGGGAGAAAAAGCAAATGAAAAAATGCAAGAAATGGAAGAAAGAACAAACAAAAAATTCATAAAATGCAACAAATGGACAAAAATATGAATAGAAAATTGCAAGAAACAAAACAAACAGTGCAAGGGTTGAAAACTGAAATAGAGACAATAAGAAAACCCAATCTGAAGAAAGGCTGTAAATAGAAAAGCTGGGCAAATGGTCAGGTACTACAGATACAAGCATTACCAACAGAATACAAGAGATGGAAGAGAGAATCTCAGGTGTTGAAGACACACGAGGAGAAATGGATTCATCAACCAAAGAAAATAAAAAGTCCAACAAATCCTTAACACAAAACATCCAGGAAATATGGGACACCATGAAAAGACCAAACGTAAGAATAATAGGTATACAAGAAGGTGAAGAAAACCACCTCAAAGAGGCAGAAAACATATTCAACAAAATCATAGAAGAAAACTTTCCCAACCTAAAGAAAGACATGCCAATGAAGGTAAAAGAAGCTTACAGAACACCAAACAGAGTGGACCACAAAACAAATCCCCTCACCACATAATAATTAAGACCCCAAACATACAGAATAAAGAAAGAATATTAAGGGCAGCTAAGAAAAAAGGCCAAGTAACATATAAAGGCAAACCTTTCAGAATTACACCTGACTTCTCCATGGATTCTGAAAGCCAGAAGGTCCTGGATAGATATTCCACCAATGCTAAGAGACCATGGATGCCAGCCTAGGCTACTATACCCGGCAAAGCTTCCAATCACTATAGATGGAGAAAATAAGATATTTCATGACAAAACTAGATTCAAGCAATACATGCCCACTAACCCAGCCTTACAGAAAGTTCTGGAAGGAAAACTCCAACGCAAGGAAGATAACTACAACCAGAAAAACATAGGCATTAGATAATCCCACTTTACCAACAGCCAAAAGAACAAAGTGGTGGAATTCCACACAAAATTCCAACAAAAACAACCATTCCAAATCAAAGAAAAATAAGCAATCAATGGTCATAAACATCCCTCAATGTTAATGGCCTTAACTCACCAATAAAAAGACACAGGCTAGCAGAATGGATTTGACGACAGAACCCATCCTTCATCTGCATACAAGAAACACACCTCAGTCTCAAAGACAGACTTTACCTGAGAGTTAAGGTTGGGAAAAGATTTCCAATCAAATGGACCCAAGAAACAAGCAGGGGTAACAAACCTAATATCTAACAAATTAGATTTTAAAATGAAAACAATCAAAAGAGATGAAGGAGGTCATTACATACTCATGACAGGCAAAATCCACCAAGATGAAGTTTCTATCCTAAACATCTATGCCGCAAATACAAAGACATTGACGTTCCTAAAAGAAACATTACTAAAACTAAAATCCCATATGAAGCCCCACATACTTATATTGGGAGATTTCAATACCCCACACTCACCACTAGACTGGAATACCAGACAGAAACATAACAAAGAAGCAAAGGGTATAATAGAAGTAATGACCCATCTGGGATTCACAGACATCTATAGAACATATATTCCACATAAAAAAAGAATATACATTCTCACCACCACATGGAACATTCTCAAAAATCGAACACATACTTGGCAACAAATCAAAATTCAGCGGCTGCAAAAAAATTAGAATAACTCCATGCATCTTATCACACAAACTTGCATTAAAATTAGAATTCAACAAAAACACAAACTGCAGAAACCCTACAAACCCATGGAAATTGAATAATGCACAACTGCACTATACCTGGGTCAAAGAAGAAATATAAAAAGACATTAAAGGCTTCCTAGAATTCCATGAGAATGAATACACAACATACCCAAACCTATGGGACATTTTGAAAGCAGTGCTACGGGGGAAGTTCATAGCACTAAGTGTCCACATGGAGAAACTGGAGAATAGTTATTCTAGAGAATTAATAGCACAGCTGAAAGCTCTAGAACACAAAGAAGCAAACTCACCCAGAAGGAGTAGACACCAGGAAATAATCAAATTGAGGGCTGAAATCAATAAAGTAGGAAAACAATACAAAGAATCAATGCAACAAAGAGTTGGTTCTTTGAGAAAATCAACAAGATAGACAAACCTTTGTCCAAACTTACCAAACAGCAGAGTGTGAACATGCAAATATTAATATCAGAAATGATATTAGTGCGCCGAGGAAATTCAGAGAATCATTACGACATACTTTGAAAACCTGTACTCCACAAAATTCAAAAATTTAAAGGAAATGGATGACTTTCTGGATAGCTACAACTTGCCAAAATTAAATCAAGAACAGATAAGCAATTTAAGTAGACCTATAACCCCTATGGAAATAGAGGCAGTCATCAAAGTCTCCCAACCCAAAAAAGCCCAGGTCCAGATGGCCTCAGTGCAGAATTCTACCACAAATTCAAAGAACAGCTTATACCAATTCTTCTCAAAGTATTCCACGCAATAGAAGCAGAAGGTTCTTTGCCAAACTCTTTCTAAATGTCTTCAATAACCTTGATCCCCAAGCCACACAAAGACACAACTAAGAAAGAGAACTTCAGACCAATATCCCTCATGAACATTGATGAAAAAATATTCAATAAAATACTGGCAAATCAGATCCAACAACACATCAAAACAATCATTCACCACGACCAAGTAGATTTCATCCCAGGGATGCAGGGATGGTTCAATATAAGAAAATCCATCAATGTAATTCACCATATAAACAAGTTGCAAAACAAAAATCACATGATCATCTCACTAGATGCTGAAAAATCCTTTGACAGAATCCAACACCCCTTCATGATAATGGTCTGGGAAAACAGGAACATACCTAAACATAATAAAAGCTATATACAGCAAACCAACAGCCAACATCAAAATAAATGGACAGAAACTCAATGCAATTCTGCTTAAATCAGGAACAAGACAAGGCTGTCTGCTCTCTCCATACCTTTTCAATACTGTACTTGAAGTTCTAGCCAGAGCCATACGACAACAAAAAGAAATCAAGAGGATACAAATTGGAAAGGAAGAGGTCAAACTTTCACTATTTGCAGATGATATGAGAGTTTACATAAGTGAGCCAAAGAACTATACCAGGGAACTCTTTTTTTTTTTTTTTTGGTTTTTCGAGACAGGGTTTCTCTGTGTCTTTGGAGGCACTCCTGGAACTCGCTCTGTAGACCAGGCTGGCCTCAAACTCACAGAGATCCGCCTGCCTCTGCCTCCCGAGTGCTGGGATTAAAGGCGTGTGCCACCAAAGCCCGGCTACGAGGGAACTCTTAACTGATTAACAACTTCAGAAAAGTGGCAGGATACAAGATCATCTCAAGAAAATCAGTAGCCCTATTATATACATACGATAAAAGGTATGAGAAAGAAAACAGGTCAACATCACCCTTTAAAATTGCCACAAACAACATATAATACCTTGGGGTAATGCTAACCAAACAAAAGAAGTACCTGTATTGCAAGAATTTGAGTCTTTAAAAGAAGAAATTAAAGAAGCCCTCAGAAAATGGAAAGATCTCCCATGTTCTTGGATAGGTAGGATCAATGTAGTAAAAATGGCAATCCTGCAAAAATCTATCTACAGATTCAATGCAATCCCCATTAAAATACCAGCACAATTCTTCACAGACCTTGAAAGAACAAAAATCAATTTTGTATGGAAAAACAAAATTCTCTGGATAGCCAAAACAACCCTGTTCAACAAGGCAATGTCTGGAGGTATCACCATCCCCGACTTCAAGCTCTATTATAGAGCTATAGTCCTGAAAACAGCTTGGTATTGGCACAAAAATAGATAGGTAGACCAATGGAATCAAATTGAAAACCCTGATAATAGCCGCCACATGTATGAACATCTGATCTTTGACAAAGAAACTAAAAATACACAATTGAACAAAGAAAGCATCTTCACCAAATGGTACTGGCATCACTGGATGCTGGCATGTAGAAGAATGTGGATAGATCCATGTCTATCTCCATGCACAAAATTTAAATCCAAATGGATAAAAGACCTCAACATAAGTCCAGTCACACTGAACCTCTTAGAATAGAAAGTGGGTGGTACCCTTTAATGAATTGGTACAGGACACTGCTTCCTGAACATAACACCAGTAGCACATACACAGAGGTCAAAAATTAATACATGGGACCTCCTGAAACTCAGAAGCTTCTGTCAGGCAAAGGAAACAGTCAAAAAGACAAAAAGACAGCCCACAGAATGGGAAAAGATTTTCACTAACCCCACATCTGACAGAGGGGTGATCTCCAAAATTAACAAAGAACTCAAGAAGCAAGTCTCTAAAACACCAAAGTGGGCTACAGATCTAAATAGAAAATTCTCAGTACAGGAGACTAAAATGTCTGAGAGGCACTTGAGAAAGTGCTCAACATCCTTAGCCATCAGGGAAATGCAAATCAAAACAATTCTGAGATACCATCTTACTCTTGTCAGAATGGCTAAAATCAAAAACACCAATGACAGTTTATGCTGGAGAGGTGGTGGAGAAAGGAGAACACTCCTCCACTGCTGGTGGGAATGCCAACTTGCATAGCCACTTTGGAAATCAGTATAGAGATTCCTCAGGAAAATGGGAATCAGCCTACCACATGACCCAGCAATTCCACTCTTAGGCATATACCCAAAATATGCCCATTCATACAACAAGGATGTCTGTTCCACTATGTTCATAGCAGCATTATTTGTAATAGCCAGATTTTAGAAGCAACCTAGATGCCCCTCAACTAAAGAGTGGATAGAGAAAATGTGGTACATTGACAAAATGGAGTACTTTTCAGCAGAAAAAGAAACAATGGAATCCTGAAATTTGCAGGCAAATGGATGGCACTAGAAAAACCCATCCTACATGAGGTAACCCAGTCCCAAAAAGGAAACTTGGTATGTACTCTCTCATTTATGGATTTTAAACATAGATCCGTGGAGTGCCAGCCTACAATCTTACTGCCAGAAAGTCTAGGAAACAAAACATTTATTCAATGGCTGATGGAAGCAGAGGCAGACTCCTACAGCTAGACACTGAGTTGAACTAAAGGAATACAGTGACAGACATGGAGGACTGATGAGCAAAGGGGTTAAGGCTGGGCTGGTTTAACCCCCAGAAACAGCTGACTTGACAAGCATTAGCTATCCAATCCCAGACTGATGGCTGGTAATCCAGCATGGGACTGATCAAGACCCCCTTAATATGTGCAACAGTAATGAGGCCAAGGCAATCTATTGGGCCTTGGGTATTAGATCATTATTTATCCCTGGCATACAAATGGATTTTGTGTGGCCACCCCACAATGAGAGATGAATTCTCACCATGGACTCTTGGAGGAGGGTCTAGGCCTTGCCCTGGGTGAAAGAAAAGACTATGAACACACCATGGAGGCTCTCATTCTCCCTGGGAATTGAGGGGGCAATGGGGGATGGGTGTGAGGGCATAGGAGGAGAGGGAGGGAAAGGGAGAGGAACCTGGAATTGACATGTGAAGCAACCTTGTTTCTAATTTAAATTTAAAAATAAAAAACACATATTAAACTATTCCCTTTGTTTTCCCATAAAGTTTTTTCTTTAGAAAATTGTGATTCTTATAATTTGTGCCATTCAAAGAAATGCCCATTACCTTCCAGGGGAAATGCACCAGTCTCTTTACACCTCCTAGTCCCTGAAATTCTGCTTGATGAAGCAATAAATCATGAAGGGCATGAGCCACAGCATACACAGCATTGTAGAGGTTGTAACTCTCCTCACTTATGGCAACGTCAATAACTGGATAAGATAACATTCCCAAGGAAGCATTCAGTGGACAGTTCTCCAGTATGGTACAGTCAGAATCAGAAAATGTACAATCAAAAAAGAAAGACCAGAATATAGCTAAGTAAATGTCATTTGGGTATTTAGAGGGATTGACAGTATGGATAAATTTTCTAAATCCTGAGATTTCCTTATGGTGGTGTGAAAACATGAGAGAACCATGAAATGGGTCAAAAAGTATACTCTGTTTTATTTTGGAAGAATGATATGGTGATGCCATGACCCAGACTTTTTGTGTCATAAGAGATTGTTCTAACATGTGAACTAATGTGATCAGAGAATCAGAGTCAAAATAGAGTACAATAACATTTACTGCTGATTTCAAGATCTGATGATAATGGTTCACTTTAAATTCTGGAGATTCTGACAATTTGCTGATTGGCACAATTTCCATAAAGGCCACACAAATACTGTTCTTGTCTATTTGTATTCTAAAGTCATGCCAAAACTGAATGCTTCTTTCATCTTCTGAGATATACAGACCCACCCAATTCCAGTGGAAATGAAGTATTAAAGAGATCACAGCTTGGGCCAGAAATGTGTCTTTAGGTGCTACATGATATAAAGAAGGTAAGTGGATATTGCTACTCATGGTGGGATCATAACGTCCAATGGCGAGCTAAGGGAAGAGGACAGTTAAAAACAATATGAAGATAAGTCCTGTACAATTATGAGAACTTATTTGCCATTAACAATAGCTATATGCTTTAGAAAGGACAATAGGCTTATCTCATAGTTAGAGTTGCCATCTTCTTCCTCAGAATGTTTTGGAATATTAATGATTAGACTCATATTTGGAAAAGTCATGGTCTTCTACAAACTCTCCCACCACTCTATTCCTAATGAAGATCCCAAGCAATTAAGTTTAAACAGGAATTTTGCATAATGCATAAGTCTAGTCTCCACTTTTTACCTTTCCCATGAATGTATCATTATCAGTGTATGAATGATCAGTTCACTTCACTCCATAGCGACAGTGCTCACCTGTGGAATTTTGTACAGCTCCAGCAGTTTTCCAATTAGAGTAGATGATGTCCATGATGGTCCTGTAATTAATACTACAGACTTGCTCTCTTTCCTACAGTTGTAGTTAGGAATCATTTCAGCTATCCCTGAGATCCACTTTAAAGAAGGATACATTATGTCTACATCAATAAGTGCGACATTATACACATCTAATCCCAAAGTTATATTGGGTAAAATATGAGAGTTTCTGTTGATCTCTTCAATGGCAAAGAGGAAGGAGAGAAAAAACATGTATGTCTTGGTCTTAAACCTATAAAGATGAGAAAGAATCATTAAGAAAAGTTGCAAGTCATGATTTTATTTAAAAACAATGTAATCAGTTTATAGGTTGTATTGACCAATTTAATGAATCAATTTTTTATTTTGCTAGCATTTATTACTTGTACAAAATACTGGATTTCATAATTGAAGTTTATTGATGCTTGCAACATACTTTGCTACTTCTCACACTGGAATTAGCAAAATAGTCCTTCTTTTCCTATCGTTTCCCTTGTTCCCTTGTGGTAAGTTCTCCTTGTAGTTTGTTCTATTACCTCTATTATTCTTAATTTAATAATTACTGTTTTAGTATATATAGTTACAACTCTATAACCACACCCTGTTGATTCCATTTAGTTTTGCTCATATATGTATATATATGAATATGAATTGTTATTCATATCTATTTATGTTGACATATAGTTTTAGGATTGACTAATTGGTATTGGATAACCAATTAGATGCCTGATCCCTGTCAAGACTGATTATTCTTCTCCTGGCAGTCATTAATAGCCTGTAGGAAAGGGTCTAGGGTTTTATGATATTTCCTCATTCACGTGGGTATGTCTATGTGTACTGCCATAATTCAAGCCTTATTTGGGCTACCAAACCATTGAGAATTCATTTTAACAGCTTTCCTTCCTTTTGAGACTATACAATCTCACATAAGATGATATTTCCCAGATATAGATGTAGGAATTAAAAATGTACTTTTTAACTGAGTTTAAGAACCCCTTAGTCACTTGTTCTCTGTATACCAACAAGCTGTGGATGATGGTAATTTAATTTTCTCTGTCTTTTGCAAAAAGAAATTTCTTTGGTGAAGAAGGAAAATTATATGTACCTGTAAGTAAAGGATAAACAATTAGAACCTGGTAAGAAATTATGCTAGTTTGAGAAAATGTTACTCTCCTCCCCAGTCCTCTATACTGGAGCCAACAGCTCTAACTGCATTACCAGAGGCTGGTTGGATCAAGGGACACTAGCCCCAGACTGAACCCTCTCTCTGGGACTCCATATTCCCTCCCACAACTCCAGCTTCTTTACCAGAGACCAGGTTGATCCAATGGACCCCAGGTAAAATACCCACTGGTCACTAACCCTCCTTAAAGCGTACTCAACAGCTCCAGGCTGCACTCCTTTGCCTGTTCTCCTTAATTTGACTCACAACTTTGCAAGAAAAATTCTGCTCATCCCAAGAAAAACCTTATTCTAGGGAACTAGGGCAGACAATGTCTACCACCAGTTAACAATCTCTAAAGCTGGTCCAACAGACTCCAGCTGATCTCCCTGTCCTGCATGTCATCTTAGGTCATCACATCAGCTGAAAACTTACACTTTACTGGAAGACATGCCATTATAGAAATTACAGAGACCAAGCAGGTATGCAGAACCCCAGAGGCCACCCAGGTACTTGGATACTCAGAGGCAAAGTTGGGATAGAAAAACTCAGAGGTCTTGAAGGCGACAAAGCAACAGCATAGACACTTTAGTGGACATGAAAACTCACTAGTTACCAGAATGCCAGGCCAGTTAGGTCTGAAGATGAGAAACCAAGGGAAGAAAAACACCCATCTAACAAAGACAAACTCAGGAACTGACAAACAAAACTTTAGTCATTCCAAACCAAGATGTCTACATGCCAGTATAAGAACATAATTAACAACAGAAAGAGCAATATTGCCTCACTACAGCCTAGTTATTCTAAGACAGCAAGAACTGAATATTCCAACCCAGCTGGATCACCAGAAAATGATGTTAAAAATAGCTTTGTGAAGATAATAGGATCCTTAAAGAGGAAATGGCAACATCCCTAAAGAAACTGAGAGAAAGACAAATAGAAATATTGGAGAAAAACAATAAATTTCCTCAAGGAATGCTAAGAAATCAATAAAAAACAAACAGGTTAATGAAACTGTTCAAGACCAGAAAATGGAAGTAGAAGAAATGAGCCTTGGACAGCAGATCAGTACCCATCCCAAGTATACACACGGTCTCTGGACTCCCATAGAACAATGTGAGGTGCACTCTCACCCTGAACTCTTGGGGAAGGGTCTAGGCCCTGCCCTATATGAAATGACAGACTATGGACACCCCCATGGAGGGCCTCACCCTCCCTGGGGGAATGAGGGGATAACGGGGGGGGTGGGGGGGAGGGCACGGGAGGAGGGGAGGGAAAGGGAGAGGGACCTCGTACTGACTTGTGAAGCAACCTTGTTTCTTATCTAAATTTAAAATGGAAAATAAAAAAATATTAATAAAAAAAAAGAAAATACAAACAGAGGAAATTCTGGAAATGGAAAATCTGAGTAAGAGGACAAGAAATACAAATGCAAGCATAACCAACAGAAAAAAAGACAGAAGAGAGAATCTAAGGCATTGAAAATACAATAGGAGAAACACATTCATTGATAAAAAATGTTAAATCTACCATAATCTAGCACAAATTTCAGGAAATCTTTGTCATTATGAAAGGACCAAAAATAAGAGCAATGGGTACAGAAGTAAAAGTATTTCTACTCACGGGACAAGGAAAAAATTCAACAAAATCATAGAAGAAAATTTTCCTTACTTAAAGAAGAACATGGCTATAAATGTATAAGAAGCTAACAGAACCAAAAATTTCACCCTGCCACTTAATAATCAAGACATTAAAAATATAGTCAAATAAAAGAATATTAAAAGCTGAAAGGAAAAAGCCAAGTAATGTAAAAATGGGTTGCAATAGAATTGCAGTAAGCTTCTCAATGGAAAGCATAAAAGCCAGAATGGCCTCAACAGATGTCTTGCATACTCTAAGAGAACATATATACCAGCCAAGACAAGTATAACCAGCAGAACTTTCAGTCACCATAAATGAAGAGAACAAGATATTTCATGTCAAAGTAAATTTAAGCAACATCTCTCCACAAATCATCATCCACAGAACGTAACAGAAATAAAACACAAACCCAAGAAAGTTAACTTCATTCACAAAAATGCTTGCAGTAAATAATCCCACACCAACAAAAGCCAAGAAAGGGAAACACACAGACACAAAACCAACAACAAGAAAATAACAGAAATTACTCATCACTAGTTATTAATATCGCTCCATATCAGTGGACTCAATTTGCCAATAAAAAACACAGGCTAACAGAATGGTTATGATCCTTCTTAAGCACTCAATAAATAAACCTCAACACCAAGGATAGGTGTTGAGGATTTTCCAAACAAATTAACCAAAGAAGCAAGCTGGTGTAACTATTCTAATATATAACAAAGTAGACTTCCAACTGAAGTTATTCAAAAGAGACAGAGATGGATATTTTCATCACACCCATCAAAGGGAAAATCCACAAAGCTGATGTCTCAATTCTACACATCTATGCCTCAAATGCAAAGGCAACCACATTTTTCAAAGAAACATTTTCAAAGTATATAGCATATATTGAACCTCACACATCTATTGAGGAAGACTCTCTCACACTCACCCCACTCTCATCATGGGGCAGGTCATCCAGACAAAAACTGAAAAGTGAAATAATGGAACTAACATAATTTTGACACAAACAGACCTCTCAAATGTCCACAGAACATTTAAACCAAACACAAAAGGAAATACCTTCTACTCAACAACTCATGAAACATCCTCAAAAACTGATCATATATTTTCTCACTGAGCAAGTCTCAACAGATACAAGAAAACTGATATAAACCCCTATAACTTATCAGACCATGATGGACTAAAGTTGCATTTTATCAGGAGAAATGAGAAAACCCCTAAAAACTTACAGAAGCTGACCAACTATCTACAGTATCACTACTGGGTCATGGAACACATAAAGAAAATAAAACTTCCTAGAGTTCACACAATACACACAAATTTATGGAACACAATGAATGTGGTGCTGAGAGGCAATTTCATAGCACCAAGCACCTTAATAAAGAAATAGAGAGATCTTGCCAGGAAGTGGTGGTGTACTCCTCAATCCCAGAACGTGAGAGGCAGGGGTAGGCAGATCTCTGTGAGTTCAAGGCCAGCATGTACTGCAAAATGAGTTCTAGGTCAGCCAGAAATGTTACACAGAAAAATCCTGCTTCAAACATACCAAAATAAATGCATGTATGAATGAATAAATAAATAAATAAATGAATAAATAAGAGAGATCACATGCCTGACACCTAATAGAACACCTGAAAATTCTAGAACAAAGACCCAATAGGAGTGGACTGCAGTACATAATCAAACTTAGGGATGAAATGGAAACAATACAAAAAGTTAATGAAACAAAGATATGATTCTTTTAATAAAATCAGCAACATGGACAAAACCCTATCCAAACTAAGTAATAGGCAGAAAGTAGATATCCAAATTAACAAAAATTGTAATGTGAAGGGGGATATAACAGCAGTCACCAAAAGAATCCTAAGAATCATTAAGTTATATTTTAAAATCTGTACTCCAGGAAAATGTAAAAGAAAAAATATGGACTTTCTCAATAAATACTACTTATCAAAGTTAAATCAAGATCAGATGAACAATTTCAAAACAATTATTACTCCTAAGGAAATAGAAGCAGTCATTAAAATCCCCCAAGCATAAAATAGCCTGCGCCAGATGGTTTAGCACAGAATTCCAACAAACTTTCAAAGAAGAGCTAATACTAACACTCCTTAAATTATCTCTCAGATGCCCCTCAACTGAAGAGTGGATAGAGAAAAATGTGGTACATTTAAGCAATGGAGTACTACTCACCAAAAATAAATAAATAA